CATGTTAGGGACCTAAGGGAGTTCAGGCTCTCTGTAAGCTAATCCACTCCTAAGTGAGTGAGCTTTCACATCATCGGATGGATCTGCTTCACTTGAGCTTTCGAAAGAATTTTCACTTGGCTCCTCTTCAGATTTTTCTAAGTTTTTAGAATTAGTTTTGGCCATTATGCTAAGGAGGGTGGATAATCTTTCATCGAAATCCTTCTGCATCTCTTTTAGTTCAGATCTAAGATCACTAATCTCTTTAGACCTAGATTTTTCAAGCTCTAGAATTCTTTTGTAGTTCCTAAGTCGCATGCCCAAGTCGCACAGCCAAAGAAGCAGTCTTGAGAGCCTTAAGTCCTTTAGTCTCAGCCGCATGCCCATCTAGGTGTGTTTTGTGAGTCTTTGTGCGATTCAGTCTTCTTCCTCTTCAACTCGCATGACCAAGATGAAATCTGGGGAGAATATGTGTGCGACTAGGTCCTCCTTGTGTCCCATGTCGCATGTCTAACTCGCACAGCCAAAGAAAGAAGCTTGAACGAGATAGAACCCATGTAAGCCCAACCGCATTACTCTCTCGGTGTGATTTGCGAATCTTCATGCGGCTCAGTTCCCTTTGCTCCTTAACTCGCACGACCATGTAGTAGGTGCCTTCAGAATTATGTGTGGGATGGTGTTCATCACTCCCAAGTCGCATGCTCAAGTCGGTGTAAATTGCGAGTCTTCATGCGGCTCAGTTCCAAGCTTGGCCAACTCGCATGCTCAAGTCGCACGCTTGTGGACTTAGTATTTTTCTTGCTCGAGAACCTTAGACCTTACCCAGTGACACCTCACCCGCATATCTCAACACGCAGCTCAATCCCCAGACATTAATCTCCAAGCATTGCGAGTTAACCAAGTCGCAAGACTATCTCGCAGCCTTCACGTCTCCTCGGACCACTTCACATTCAGGGTAGAGTAACTTCCAGGATACTGGTCCAAATGACGCGATTCCAACTTCAGTGGAAAAAGCGCTCGGATATCTTCAACTTTTGTGAAGGAACCTTCGGCGCTTGGGAAGTGTAAGGTGCCTTGGAGGGCTCATATTCACAGTGCATCGACACGGTCATAAAGAGGCTTCTAGACATGTGTCCATTCAAGAAACGTTATCTTCTTTCTCATAGCTCCAAATTGAATGATCTCAAACGTTCTGGAAAGAGGACTCAAATATCTCAAATCTTGATGAAGGCCCGGTAGACTTAATTCGTCCTTCGCATTCTTCGGAGCTCATCGGGTCGGTCCAAAACGGCAGCGAGACAGGCGTGCCTTCCGACGAGCTTAACTCTCTGCTCACGCCTCCAAATCCTATTATTCTACCTGCTCTGGAACCATGATCCAATCTTCTCCAACTTTGATGAAGCACCCGACAGCTGAATCGACTGGCAAGACCTTCAGGTGACGCGATTTCCGAGATGTGTCTGTATCCGGAAATGTTTGCCGAGAAACCTTAGCCGCGGTATGCGTTTTGGCCGAGAGGCTCACTCGCGGTACACGGAAAACGCCAAGAAAAGCTGCCTGCGGTACGTGAGAATCGCCGGGAACCTCCAAAAACCCATTTTCACCATCTTTCAAGTCCTAATCTCCATTTCTCTTCCTGGATTCACCTTTTCAGCTCCAAATAGCTCCAAATACACCTTATAAACACTCCAAACATGCAAAGACTCATTGGGACCTAATGCAACTCCTAAGCTCTAAAACAAACCCTAAAGACCTAAAATGCATGAAATAAGATATGATTTGAACTGAAATATACAACCTAAATGATGCAAATTATGAACATATCACGTGGATATGTTTTAATTTATATATTCAACATGGATATACATTTTACATTGTCCATAACCTATCCACATGATCATGTCCATGTTATGGACAATGTAAAATGAAAACATATCCACGCAATCGCGTCCATATTATAAGTCCATCATGCCTCATCCACATCTTATTTTGTGAATGGATACCTAAGTAGATTTCTGATTTTTTTTTGAAATTTTTATAAAGATTATTTGAAATGTTTCTTGTTTGATAAATAAAGTATACATAATGGATCTTAAAAACAATGGCAAAATAAAATTAAAATTAGTTCTAACAAAAAAAAATTATATCTTTTACAATATAGAAAAATATAAAACAAAACAGAAGGGAAAAAATAATTATTGTTTTTAAAATCTGGGTTTAATCCAGTATCCACGAGTTAACATCCACCGTTATCGTGAACACGAGGGACAATTTCAGAATGAACAGTAAAAAAGTCACATAATAGCTAGAAGTGCATTATTGTGTAATATGAGTTTGAAAAAGTGTCTTTTCAGTGTAATTTTCTCTATAATTAAAAATTTTACTAAAAATAATTAAATAAATTCGCTCATAGTCTCTAGAAGCAATACAACATCAACCGCCACAAGTACTGCTTTTCGAGAAAAAATACTGAGTGAAGATACACTTATGGAGCACACAAGATTCATAAACACATTATATGATATAGTGATACAAATATTCATAATATAGACATTGAACCCACGCAAAATTCAACCTAAAATATAATAACTAATTTTATTATATAATATCATTCTAATATTCTATAATCATAGATAATCATTCACAACAATTAACCTAGAAGTTTTATAACACATTCTCAAAAAAACTTCCGTTTAAGGTACTTATTATATGCCACAGCCCATAAATGGGTTTGACGATTAATGCCTCTGTCCAATCACAGGACTCGACAATTAATTCCACTGCCACAGCTCTTTACAGGGTTTGACAATGGCTCGTTAACCCTTTCTCGATCACTACAGCTTCACAATCTCAGTTTCTCACTGTAGGCCGTCAAACAAAACTGTCAAGCTACAAGTACTAACAACCTATCAACCAGGTAACTCACGATCATATCATCTAATATCAATAACAATCAACAATTAACAACCTTCTATTATCAATCATATTCAATATCTATACCAAGTATACACTAATCAGTAGATCAGCTAATGCATGAAATGCATCTACACACTGGTCCTAACCTTGAAAACACCACAAGAACGAGTCTGAAGAATATAAGTTGGTATCCAAGCCCTCTGATACACACAATTCGCAAGTCCATATTGTTTCTTGCCCGAGAAGGTACAGCGATAACTTTCGCAATTTACCTTGGAAATTGGATCTGAAAGGGTATATGGAAAGAATGATCCGAGTGCTACAGATCGGTATGTGGATTGCCATCTAGGTCTTTCTGGATCGACGGCAAATTCTCTCTTAAGTTGGCACGCAAAACTGAAAAAATCAGATTTGCATAACCAAATGATTTTTTGCCAACCTTCAGCTCACATAAAAAACGGGGCTTACATCGGATTTATGATCTGAAATCTGCTATGGATTCATTGCAGTAAGATCTTTCCAGAGGTATAAATATCGACACTCAGCTCGATCTGAGTTACTTGCAAAGGATTCAGCAATACCCTCACTCTGACAAATTTTAAATTAATGTTGCAGATGTTATTATCGAGTTTCACTGCGTTAACTTTGTGTGGTTCTCAAAAGAAAATGGCAAGCCTTTATATAAAAATGGGGTCGAACTACTTAAATCTAGGGTGGAGAAGAAATTTCAAAAATACCTTTACTCACACTTATGACTTTTTTTCTCTTGTCTTGAGCTTTGATGGATTTTGAGCTGTCACAGTGAGTATTGATTCCTAACCAATCAAGATTCAAAATGTAGTGATCTTCCGACAGAAGTTAATATCCCCCAAAAGGTAGAACCATCGGTCTTCATCTGCCGAACAGATGGATCTTTGAAAAGAGATGGATTCCACCAGTGGTGTGGACTGGATTTTGCAACTATAAGATGGAAGTACAAATCATCTGGGGCCTTACCGCCGGAGGTACCTGTCCGGAGGAACCAGAAGTAAGGAGTTCCATCCCTGGAATTCAAGGGAGTCAAAGGAGGATATCATCTTTACACCTCAAGCTTCACATGCCGATTAGTGAATTCGGAAATTTTGAATAAGACGTATTGTTAAATATATTTTGATAGTGAAACTGAAGTTGATATATTTACTTGAAGTTGTACTATCATGTTTTAGATCGTTTGCGATGTTAGTATTCAAAAAATAATATATACTTTTTATCTTACAAAAACTATCCGAATTATCTGAGAATGGCTTAACGAATTTTATCAACACCATCATTTGGTTATTTTCCCATCATCTAAATTATAGGCAGTGTCCCAATTCAAAGTCCTCCATAAATCAAATCTATGAGTCGGTGGAAGAAGTGTTATTCAGTTCCCGCTGCTAGAGTTACTTCAATCTGTGTAATTCTTCGTGCGCGCCTAGAGCTGCCATGATGCTCTCTACCCACCTGCCACAGACACACAAATCCATGGAAAATAGAAGTGACGATAGGACTCAGTTCGCTTGGTTATGTGACAAGAGCACTCAATTCAGAGCCTAGTTGACATGTTCCATCATATAAAAAAGTTTAAGAATTACCCTTCAAGTCCTGGTTTCTCTGGGTGGTACACGTGTTTTAGTCCTAAACGTCTTGCTGCTGAAGCAGTTGTCTCTCCTATGCAGGCAACATAATTGCTGCATTGGTCCGCACTTTGAATTAGATTCATCCAGGCCCTGCGGAATACAAGTAAATGACGGACCAAACCCACTAGACCATAATCGAAGATACGAGTCTCACTGGTAGGCAAATTGCACTCATAACTTTTGCAATATGATGACATTTAATGGTGCCTACCGGACTGCAGAAGGTGAAGCTACAGAAAGAACAGGCGCACACAATGCCTGTTGCAGAAGCATCGCATCAACACTCTGCACAGGAAGCTAGAAAAAGAATAAAACGAAGAAAATGACGGTTATAGTTATACTGCATAAAATATCTTCAAATAACCACGTACAATAACTGACAAGCGAGAACACATATATAAAATGTTGACTATGCCCAATAAAAGATTAAATGAGATGACTTTTAAATATTACTTGTTTAGTAAGTGTAAAGACAGCTTACTGTTGTGTATGTATTCAGCCTCAGAACTTCAAACCCACGTTTGGACAATCCTTCCTCTACGATTCATATGTAGAACAGGAAGCAGAGTAAGCTGGTCAGTCATGGACTTGCAATTCTACGAAATAACATAAGGAATGAACTAATTTTACAGCTACATATTTCGAATTAGGTTGCTTGTCAGCATAGGTTTATATTACTCAGTTGCCCATGTGCCATGGAATAATGGAGACGTCTACATGTTAAGAAACAGTAATATACAAGAGATTTCAATTTTCGGAATACTATCACTTTGAACATGAAAGCCATCACTTACTAATCCATTTTCTACAGAGAAATAGAAGTACTTCATATTTCTACAGAGAAATAGAAGTACTACATATCTACGATATGAAGTTTATAGTATGGCTAAATGCATTATTTAACATGGTTAAGAAACAGTAATATACAATAGATTTCAATTTTTGGAATACTCTCACTTTGAACATGAAAGCCATCACTTACTAATCCAAATTCTACAGAGAAATAGAAGAACTACATATCTACGATAGGAATTTTATAGTATGGCTAAATGCAAAACATGGTGTCATCCAACCATCTATTTTTATTATGGATAGTACAATAAGTTAAATTCAATTGAGAAAACCTAACGACACACACCAATTTCATTGCTTGCTTTTAGAGATGCCGGGTATAAGACAGAGGACCTTTTGCCCACATTCTCTGGGAGCTCCGAAGCCAAGACTTTACCAGTTGCTGAAAGAATGAAAACAAATAGAATGAAACAGCCAAGAGTGTAAGTATTGTACATTCGACCACTCATTCATAAACTATTAATATATATACATATATGTATATATATATATTGGTTTCGCGGATCCAACCCAATAAGAAAATATAAACATTGATGAGAGAAATGCAAATAACTGCATGTTGGATCATTATCTCAGAAAGTTAAATATGTTCTCCGGTTCATAGGAACAAACTACAACAAGTATATAGGTAACATTCTTCCACAGTAACACAAAACACCCATATAAAACGACATTCATACACAATTAAATGATTGGAGATGCAAAGGTTGCATATATAAAGACTAAAATAGAGTGAATAGAAGAGATTCTTTATCTGAATAGGAAGTTATGGAACCTTTTGATGGTGTAAAGGCAATATGAAGCGATCCTTCTGCCAATTGCATTACCTCTTCAAATACGCTGGCTGTTCCAGCTCCCACAACACCTACCTTCACTTTTGGGAAGCTAGCTGCCCTAAGGAACGACACCAATGAGGAAAATGAGGAATAGTGTTCAAACTTAAGAAAACGATACAAAACGTTCATGAATTCTTCTTCAACCCTTGTCATTTACCGAATTGTGCCAGAAATATGCATGATGCTTAGACATATATCTGAATACCTAAATAATATCCCAGACTAGTCTTATTGACGAACATTAACAATGTGAAATCAAAGAGTACACTCACTAACAACATATTGCACACTAACAAACTTTGTCCTGACAACACATTACTTACTGGAACAGTTCAAAATTCGTAAAAAAAGACATAATAGAGCAAGAACAGGGCTTACTTCCACGCCTCGAGAAAGACAGAACCTGCTTCTGGAGATGTTATGATGATCCAGTCAAAGCTCTTATCTAGCAATGAAGGTGAAACACGTCAGACTACATATCAGAATGCCAAAATCTACACAGCTTAAGGATTCTAGAGCCTTTTCTTAACTGTAGTAATATTCTTGAATTTTGAGTAAACATAGGCATTGAAAAACATTTACTAAGCATGAGATAGTAATAAGATAAAAAAAGAATATTTCCAACATCATGAATCGGGCAAAATGTAGTACGAAACCCGCAATAAGGAAATGAAATCTTAGAGCTAAGTCAGCAAGAAGTCACTAAGTCAGCAATATCAGCAATCACCACTTAATACAGATGTGAGCTGATCGAAATCAGGGCCACGAGCATGATGAATCAGGGGAAGCTCTAAAGATGATATCCCATGTTTATCCTGCAATTTTACCATGGAAAAATCAATTAGCTAGTCTACAATCGGATGTGAGAAGAACATACAGTTCACAGTTAAGGATTCATAACAATAATACACAAATCCAATCGGATGTGAAAAACTAAAGGGCGTTTAAATAGAACCCCAAACTCGATATTCAACAACTACCCCAACACAGCGCTTCGAGAAACAAACTGATTCGAAAATGAAACTTGTATCACGCGAGAAAGTTGGAGGACGGTAGATTGCATACCAAGGCTTTGATAATTTGTTTGTTCTTGCCTCGTTCCCGGGTAACAACCACCTGCGGAATAAAATCGGAGGTAGAAGACGATGTAACCCAGGAAGAAGATGAAGACGCAGACGGTGACAATGAATCTCGAACCAGAGAACGAGGAGCGAAAACTCCTTTTTTCAGACACTGAACTTGCGAAGAATAAGAAAACGGTGGTTGAAGAGATAAGAGAGAGGAGGGAGAAAGAAGCGACGCCATTAAAAAGCTCTCGGAGCAAAAAGAGGAAGTGAGACGGATGAGCGTGCGGCTGACCATATCTCGCTAAGACAAAAGCTGAAAAAACCATAATTCTAATAATTAATTTCATTTCGATTTACTTTTCTTTTAATAAGATAAAATTTGGAAATTTTTATTTTCTCCTCATCTATACTACTAAAAGAAAAGTATTTTTGTTTTCAAACAAATTTTACTTAGTTTTTTACTATTTTGTTTTCAGATAATTTCTAATTATGCTATCAAACAAATCAATTTAATGTAACATTAATAAATAATATATTTTTAATTTATATTTTAAAAAATTTTGAAAATTTAAAATTCAATTTAGATTTTTTTTTTAGATTTCCTTAAATATAAGTTATACTAATTATCAAAAATTATAGAATAAGTTATTATTATATATTTTAAAATATATACTATTAAAAGAGAAGCATGTTTCCTGTTTACACAAATTTTACTTAGTTTTTTACTATTTTATTTCAGATAATTCCTAATTATGTTATCAAACAAATTAATTTAATATAACATTAATAAATAATATATTTTTAATTTATATTTAAAATAAATCGAAAATTTAAAATTAAATTTAGATTTGTTTTAAATTTCCTTAAATATAAGTTATACTATTATCAAAAATTATAGAATAAGTTAGTATTATATATTTAAAAAAAAACTGATATTAATTTAAATTTAATTTAAATATTTAAATTTAAATAATATTTTCACTAAAAAATAAAATAATATAAGATTATATATTTTTAATAATTAAATCTAAAATTTTTAATTTTTCAACTTAAAAAAAAATATTAAATATACAAATAATATGAATAAACAAATTATACTTATATTTTAACAATCATGGTTTTTTCGCATTAATATAAATGAACATATTATGATGATGTCTTTATAATCATTGCACTTTCGGATTAATATAAATAGACATGTTAAAATAATATTTTTCTAATGACGGTCATATAAATACTAGAAAAAGAAATCAATAAGGGTACGTATATGATTAGGGGTACGTATATGATTAATATAAATCAATACTTCTCAAATGTGCCATGGTTAAACTCGATTAGGGGTACATATATGATTCAAATGAGGCCAGAGCACCCAATCGCAGCAAAGAAACAGCAATGGAAGATGAAGACCCCAAAACAACTCGGAAGGAAGAATAAGTACCGATTGATGAACAAGCCCATGAAGTAACTTGGAGAGAAGAAAAAGCACTGATGGAAGAAGAACCACCAGTTCCCAAAACCACCAATGAAGCCCATGAAACCGCACCAACACCCATGCAAGATGGTGCGACGGATCAACCTGAGGAGTTGTTTAAACCTCGTGAAGAACCTGAGCAAGAAGGAGGGAAAAAGGGACCGTCCGAGCAA